AAACTACGATGAAAGAGACATTATCCGCAGTATTCCAAGTGATCTTGATTTTACCAGAATTACTGTACACAAAGCTGTACCCAAATTGATGGTTTCACGTTCTGTTAATGTCCTAACACAAGCCTAATCAACAGACTATGTATTTTAGAAACTCCAGTAAATAGCTGGTACTTCATAGTAAAATCAGCACATAGAACTGAGTAGTATTATCACTAGTATGTTATGTTGAGTATACAGTGGTCACCTGGAAGTTGATAGGTGGTGGTGGGTTCTTTGGCTCTATTCTTACAACACTGGATTCAACTTTGGGAGGAGGCCTGAAGTTGTTCTTTCCAACCTGTTGGTCAAGAGCAGTGAGGCAGCTGTGTGAATAAGCAGCAAATCCTCACATCCCTTGAAACACTCTTCTTCTGTCTTTGACAGCTCTGTTACCTAATGCAGAATGACATACCTTCATCAGGTGGTCCACTCGAGCTAATAACTGAGTATTAATGGAGAGTCTACAGTACAGTTTAGTTCCTGGTTTTGCAACCAAACGAAGTGCAAATTCCCTTTGAAACATAAGTATTGCACACCTGAGAATAACAGATATCAGAAAATTAATTCTAAATAATCAATTTTCATGTCAAAAGACAACTAACACACTTGGAAAACACACAGTTTGCCTCAGCACTTACAAGTAGTAAAAGTTTATCATAAACAAACTCTGCTCTAATTAGTCAGAGTGCTCTAAAAAACCCCAAGTCATCAGAAAACTTGGTGAAGCCATTTAAGTCTCCTCAAAGATGTAACAGAATTTAATATTAATAGTGCTAAATGGATCCAGATCAAAGACACAGGTTGGTCTCCGAGTTGCTTGCCTGTAACAAATCATTTTGAATAACTCCTTTGTTATTCAAACTCTCCAAAAATAGACCAGTAATGTCACCAACATTAGTGCTTCAGTGACTGAAATCAAGAACTGCAGACATACTGAATAACACACAGAAATACCTGGGCAATCAGACTTTTAGTCCAGACAACAGGCAGTGACTTGATCCAACCCTTTCCACACTACCTTTTTTAGGTAGGAAGGCATTTGAAACACTACGATGCCCTACTTATCCCTGGAATGACAACTAGGTATAATACTAAAGAGGTGTAACTTCTTTTCATCAAGCTGGACTAGATGCCAAGACTAAATCTCCTCCTTATCTTAATATATCGACATAAACTAATTTCCAGGCACTATCAGGTTTATATTACAGAAAAATTTTGGTGCGGCTCTGATCCATCAAACTGCTATTTTAAGAACCAAAAAAAAATTTGATCTGAAAATATTTTTAAAACTATTTTTTTTTCCTAAGAGGCAATGCAGAGCTCCACTCTTCCACATACCTGAAAAAAGGTCTATGAAGCAATAACTTGAAAACAAAAGGTGAAGAAATCTGAGGAAAAGAGTAATAGAGTTAGTATAATTTCTGGGAAATTATCATTTAAAAAGAAAAAAAGTTCTACCATAATGTTTAGCCCATACCTGGTAAGGCAAGTTAGCTACACATGCATTGAAGAATGGTAAGTCTGTTTTCAAGATATCTCCAACCTTTATTTCAAGTTTGTTTGCCAGACATCTGTGGGAAAAAATACATTGTGATTATCCTCAGAGAAGCATGTTGCCAAAGTTTTGTCCAAGCAGCTCCACTGCTTCAAGTGCTCACTATTCCCACAGTTGATACTTACGTGCCCTGGACTCTCTTCTGAAGTTCACCAACAAGTCTAGGGTCAATTTCACATGCAATAACCTGAAAAAAGCATACATTTGCAACTTTACGCAACATCTCCTAACTGGGATTAAAATTTTAATCATAAAAACCCCACCCCTGTATCTATTGCCGTAGGTTTAAATAATTCTTAAAAATTCCCTATTAGCTTATGCACCTTCCTATGCCAACTTTATGGCATAAATGGATAACAGCAATGTAGTTTGATAAAACAACGAAAGATTTACATAGACAACTAAAAACTCATTGGGATTATGCAAATGTTAAGAAAAATATCCACTGAGTGATTCTACTGATTTGAATCCTGTGTATAAAGACCACAGCCTAAGCCACAATGTGGTCAGTGGTAAGATGGCGTGCGTGGGCGGGAATTCGCACTTACTTTTTTTACTTTTTCCAACATCTTTACTGTCAGGTTGCCGGTTCCCGGGCCCACTTCCAGAATGACATCCGTGCGGCGCAGAGCAGCCTAAGGACAAACAGCATTTCGGGTGCTTGCCTAGAACGGATTCCGTGCAACCATTTGACTTCAGAAAAAAAGATAAGTGCTTTTTACGTAACAAAAAGCTTAAACTGGGTATCAGGAGAACGTGAGAGTCGTTTAAAAAAGGAGCGGAAATTAGGGAGAACAGGAATGTCCCAAAGCTGACTTATGCCGGCCAGGCTCAGAAAAGCCAGGGAGCAGCCACGCTAAAAAAAAAAAAAAAATCACACACAAAAAGAGGTAGCGTGATGGCAATAACCGCGGTTCAGCGGCAATAATCGCGGATCAGCGGAGCCCGGGAAGGGCCGGAGCCAGGACTGCGCGTTCCCGGAGATCCTGGGCAGGCCCGGTTCCCGGGGCAGCCGCCGCCGCCGCCTCTCACCTTCTCGATGATGCTGTTGACGACGAGGGGGTTCTTCAGGATGTGCTGCCCGGCCACGGTATTGAAGAGGATGCCTAGGGCAGAGACCGCCATGTTACCGCGGGTGCTCGGCCTCCCCGCTCCCGGCATCCCGCCGGTCCGGCGCGGCCCGGCCAGCACTCACCGCCGGCGCGGCCCTTCTGGCGGTCCGAGCGCTTCCCGGCCCGCGCCTTGGGCATGTCGGCAGCTCCGCTGGGATCCCTCGGGAAGCGCCGGACTCGGCTCCAACCGTCCCTGGACGGCGCTCCACGTGCCGCCGCCACCACCCCCACTCCCGACCGGCCTCGCGTGCACCCGCCTCGTCGGACAGCGCTCCCTGGCGGCCCGGCGGCCCACCCTCCATCCTCCCGGGAAGAGTGGCTCTTGCCACGTGTGATGTCCCACCCTTAAGGAGAAAGGGAGAACCCGAAATTCGTAAATGCTCGTGGTGAGAGGGAAAAGTCAGAACCCTCGCAAAAGCTTGCGAAGTTTTGTAAGTGAACTACACGCGGCATGGAAATCAGTGTGTTAAGTCCCTTACTATCTAAGCACACGAGAGTGGGATTTGGATAAAGCGGTAGGATGAAAGAAAAGATGAATTAAAAAGGGGCAGGGAGAGAGAGAGAAAGGGAGAAGGGGAGGGAAGGGAAAGGAAGGGAAGGGAAGGGAAGGGAAGGGAAGGGAAGGGAAGGGAAGGGAAGAAGGGAAGGGAAGAAAGAAGGAAAGAAAGAAAAGCACAGTGCGTTCTTTCAGACTTTTTTGGAAATGGGTCAGAGGGATTTGAGGGGCTTGGATAGTCTTGTCCCCCCTACTAGATCGACCTTTGGGCGATAGTGCACGGCCGCTTCTGTGCTGGTGCTTTTGTTTGTTGTGTCTCCGTGGACTAGACCAAGGATGTTTGTCCCAGAAAAGTGCTGCTCTACACTTGCATGCCGCCTTCTCCAGCCAGAACTTGTTCTTTCTCAAGGCATGTTATTACCAACAGCCCTTGGTTGGCTCCACAGCCACCCGTCTATTGGTGTTTGGGACAAACATAAGCCCCATATCCTCGCGGATCCTACACCCCGGCAGGAGGCAGGGCCCCCGCACGGGACAGACCTGGCCGGGGCAGCTCCTGGGGGGAGCCCCAATGTGACACGAAATGGTACGTGTGTTGGATGAATGCCCAGTTTCTCGGCAGTCCTGCCTGGCGTGGCCGGACTGCCAAGAGCGAAGGGATGAGGGAAAGTGAGGTAATTCAAGGAGTGACACACTGCGGGCAGCTGTGGGTGCGCAGAGGGCAGGGAAGGCTGTGGGAGGACAGAGAGTAAAGGGAACCCGCAGAAGGAAACACTGTTTTTCAGAGAGTATCTCCTGCAGCATTACGTTGTTCTGTAGGAATAGCTGGAATGGTTCCTTCTGTCACCAATCCAGCACCTGCTGTCCAGTGCAAACCTTGGGAAGAAGGATTTTGCAGGGCGACCCTTGCCGATATCTGCCGACATGGCAACGGGGCACTTCAACCTCCGGCCTTTGCGTGGCACAAAGCGCCTGTGCGGTACTGCAGTAGTTCGAAGCCACTGGAACACCGGGAGCACGGACAGGCCAGTGGCTGCGGTAGCAGGGCGGGCCGGCTTAGGGCTTGCTGCTCCCCGAAGCAAACAAAAATCGAGTCACTTCAAGTTAGACCCGCTAGCATGAAATATACTTTATTTTTCATATTTTTTAATATTTTTAAATGTCTTATACAAATTTTTGTAGCTCTATGCATTGGCATTAATATCACGCATTTCCGCCCTCGCCCTCCCCGCGCCGCTGCAGCCGCCCAAGAACGCCTACAAAGCACGTCTGCGAAGCGATTCTAAGCTCCCGGTATCCCTCGGTTTATCCAGCTGCATGTCCAACCTCCGGGAAGCGCTCGCGGCCCAGGAACGCCCCTGGGCGCATGACGCCTCGTGACGTCACTACATGCCACAGCCCCCGCCCCCTCCGCATGAGGCCCCGCTCCGCCCCTCCCGCCGTGTGACGGCGCGGTGCGGGCAGGGCCTGCCCCGCGTCGCCGGGTAGTGACGTCTGGGCGGCGCGCCGGGGCGAGCGGTGGTGGCGCCGCCGTGGGGGTTCTCGGTTCGTGCGAGGCCGGGAAGGGACCAGTAGAGAGGGAAAAGCGGCTTCGGCTTCCAACATAGAGCCGCGGCTGTTTCACGGCGGGCGGTACTCCTCCTCCGCACCAGCCCCGATTTCTGCTCGCCCGGCCCCCCGTTGGCGCTGCCCGAGCCGCCGCGGCTCCGGCGCAGAGTGTCCGCCGCGGTGCCCTCTCTGCTGCACTGCCCCCGGGGATGTGCAGTGTGGCCTTCCTTACCATCTGTGCTGGCACTGGCAAAGGGTCTGCTCGGAGCTGGGAAGAAATAACTGTTACCTAATTCCAGGGAACTGTTTCCCGCTTTCTGCTTGAAACAGTTTTCGGTCTGGGTAGAATTAACGAGAAGGCATCGAAGGGATATGAGTCATTAAACTGCGTCGTTTACTGTCAAAACTTGTTTTTTTGCGAGCAAGAGCATGTATTGGCCTTTATTAAAAGCGGTTGTTTTCCTATTGCAGGCTAAAAACCAGCAGGTTTTGTGCAGAGCAGAGTCTTCTCTTAATCAGACGCAGACTGAGTTCAGCACTGGTGAGTTGTTTCTCCAGTTTGTTACCTTAGGAGACAGCAGTGTGTGTAAAATACATGAATGTGGCCCTAAATGCAGTACTGATGCTGCTTCCCGCTTATGCTTCTGTGAGCCTTTCTTCCCATGTCTTGGATAAATTCAAGTCTGTAATGTGTCTGACATGGCTTTCAAATTAGCATCCATAATGTATTAGAACTACTCGAGTTTTTACAAATAGCATGTTCCCTGTGGATTTTGGTTTCCTGAAACTTGCAACAATTTTTTCATTGCTCTCTGTTTTTCTTGTCTCATTCTTTCCTTGTACTCTTCTGCAGAGGAGCATTTACTGTCATATGTATAAATGAGATAGTAAAGGGTTTTGCCACCCATGCTTTATGTATAAAATTTTGCAACTGTATCATCAGAAGTAGAATTTAACTGTAATTAAACTGGATTGTCTTAAACCTGTTCCAGAGCATGAGGCAGACTGAAACTTGTATTTCCATCTCGGTTGTTGTGCACTAGTTTGTTCTAAGTGTTCTGCAATGTCTTTTTGAAAGTCTTTTAAAACGAGATGAATTAGGAAGAAGTGAACAGAATAAGATTGACCTTGTTATATTGGTCATCCTATAAACTAACATTAAAAATATTCTTCCGTTGTCTCTGTATCCATTTGGCTTTTTCTATGTTATCAATACTGAACCCCATGGCAGTCTCTTCTGAGTTCTATCCGAGATAGTCCTTGAAATTGTCCCACTCATTTGTTTACTGCCTGGTTTTTCTGTTGGGTGTTTTTGGTCACTTTGGTGACTGTTTAACCTGAAAGGCCATTCTTCTCCTCAGAATTTTAATATGAACTGACTTGCTTCCCTTAACATTATTGTCAGCCTTGCTAACTGCTGTCCTTTATTCCTGTGTTCCTTGTTGTTCTTTTAGTTTTTTGTGTCTTCTGCATGCTTTTTTCAGGCTTAGGTTTTAATTTCAATGTTTAATTTCTGTAAAAATGAAATTTTGGAAGTTCTATTCCTCTATTTCTGTCAGTAGCAGTATGGGAAAAAAACACCTCTAACTCTTTCCTGCTGAGACGTTTTTATTTTGTTTTCTTTGCTGTGGTTTAAATTGGGCAAATTAAAGGTAGCTTTGTTCATTTACATGGAGAAAAATCAATATGTTGGTTTTGGAAAATCGTGGTAATACCTAACATTAGTTGTTGTCGTGATTTTGGTGATTACTGTAGTTGTTAGTGGCTTTAAGTAGTACCTTTAATAATCAAGATACTACTAGTTCTTTTGGGTTCACTGTTCAGTAGAAGTATAACATGGCATGATTGATACAGATACTGCAATGTTAGAAAAGAGATTCATGGAAGAGTTGGTAGAAGGCTGGAGAGATCAGTGTAACTACCAACTTTTCCTGAAGCTGTCAGTATTCCAGCTAATGTGTTGTATCAGTATCATTGTGAACTCCAGCATTCCTATTACTTGTTTCAGAAGGTGTTCTTGTGGCTTTTCAGCAAAAGAACTTTGTTTTTCCTGTTTTTCTTAAAACAAATGTGCTGTAAAAGACAGTAGTAAGTTTCTAATTGAACTTTCCAAGCTGCAATATGTAGCTTTATTGTTGTTTATTAGTTGTGTAATCTGCTGACAAGAAGCAGAAAGTCACCTCGGTAAGTGCCTTTCTAGTTTTAAGTGTCTATGAAGTCTTCCTTTAGCTTCCACTTCATTAAAAAAGTCCTCAACCTCTCTTCATAGTTGATTGGCTTTAGATCCCAGACAGTAGCTCTGGCCTCTCCCCAGTTTCTTCCTAGTCGAACTGATGAAAGGGAGAACTGTGAGAACCAAACTGGAGACTGTTCTAGAAGCAGTCTCAGGCACTGACTAAAAGAGGATAACAACATCTCTAGAATCACTTGTGCTCTTAAAGTATCCCAGAAAATGTTTGTACTATGATCAGTGAGAACACACTGTATTTTATGTGATACATTTACTGCTTTGTCTCCTTCTGATTTCATAAAATCATAACTGAATACATTCTTGTGCCTTATTACAGTGCGAGAGACTTGATTAAATTCCTAACAAATGAGAACAAAAAGTACACAGAATTAGTTGTTTGGTTATGAGTGAGTTGTTATACTGCATTCTCTGAAGTCCAAAAAAAGTGAAGTGGGGAGGTATTTAATGATTAAATTCATCATTTTGTTCCTTTACAGATGTATAACAGTCCTTGATTTCTTGTCACAACTGATGTGTTTTAAAATTAGGATGTGTTTTAGTGTGATGGGAAAAGTACCTGGATACTCTTTTACCTGTATCAAAAGCATTGACTGCTCAGGAAAAACAGTAAACTAGCTTAGCTAGTATAAAACTAGAACATTTAAGAGACTTGGAATATTCTTGAAAGCAAACTACATTTGCAGATACTTCCTTAGAACGGGAATCAAAGAATGAAGACTAGAACAGAAGTGTGTCTTGGATTTTTGCCAGTAAAAGGAGTTGAAGTAGTTTAGAAGTAAGAATGGAAGTGCAGGACATTGGGTATTGGTACCTGTGGTTTCTGAAGGCACTAGCTCATTGTGGGGTGGCATTTGATGTGTCTTGCTTATCTTCTAGGTGTAACTGAGTTTGGTTTTTTTCCTGTTAACTGAGACTTGAGAGTATGCTGTTGTCTAGTTCAGTATTACCATATTCAGTGGGATCTTGGAGAGCTACTTTTTCTTATTGTGTGTGATTAGTCTCTTTTTCCTCAGACAAGAACAAATTCTAACATGGCAATAGAGTCATGCTTGGGTTTGCAGGTGACATTATTGGACACTTTCTAGTGGAAGGGGTTTCCTTTCCTTCCACCCCAACCCTGTATGTGCAATTGGGTTGTCGTAGCAATGGGTTTTAACCACAGAAGAACAGCAGAAAGCAACCAACATTCCTGAAACTGCTCAGTGTTTATTGTGAAGACACAGTCTGACATTACTAAGTAAAGATGGGAAGTGCTACCCTTACCCTGGAATTCCGAGTGTTGTGGCACAAAGTGTAGATCCTGCCTACCTTCTGAGAATGTGTTCCTTATAGGATTGACAGACTCTGCCAGCATTGCTATGCATGCCTCATGGCTCTGAAGGCATCCAAAAGATAATGGCTATTTAATACTCACCTCCTCGGTTTCATCTCCTAGGCAGTCTTGTAGAAATAGCTCAATTGTGAGTGAAGTTGTAGAATTCCCCAGCAAGCTGTGGAGAAAGTCCATGTCCCTGTGAATTAACCGGTCTGTGGTGTACCCCATGTCCCTTTGCCTTTGCTGTGCAATAGCGAAGTCTGATTTGTAAGAGGTGAGGATTGTCTCTATCCCATAATATTAAAGGCAATATTCATGGGCCTTTGCCATTCCGTGGGGTCTGAGAGCATCTCTATGTCCTCTGTATAAATTATGATCTGGAGAGGCCCTGATGCATCCGTTAAAAAAAGAGAGTCACAACAAATTAAGCTTGGAGAGATCTGGGTTTAAACTCCTGAAGCACATCTATGTCTGTCTGCAGAAAAAGATTTCACACATGTATCTGTACATGGCTGTAATTAAAACTGTGTTTTGGGAGGATCCCAATAACACAAGGTGTGAGCTAATGCCCTCATTGAGTCAATAATTTTTGCAGAGGGCATGCAGGGAATAAGTTTCCAATAGAAATCCTACTATTCGGAAGCTAAAGCAAGGAGGGACTTTATCAGAATTGAAATTGTGTGCTGGGACCTGGCTCTGTAATGGCTTGACATTGTTGGAAGTCAGGTACTCCTCCTTCCTCCCATAGTGTCCTCTGGTGTTTGTGGAACACTCTGCTCAGATGTCTTAACTTTTTGGCTTGTTTGGGTTTTTTTGTTGTGTGTACCCCTCTGCCTTTTGTGGGTAATTATGGCTCAGTCATAATGTGTAAGTTTGCTTTAAGTTTAATTCACTTAGGAGGAGAGTGAAATAAAAGCTACGTGTATCTGTTCTGCCTGCTTTCTTGTACCTAGCATATCAGCCTGTCGGGCAACGTGGTGTGAAAATGACTGGATTATTTTGCTTGACCCAAACCAAAACTGCATTTTTTTCACTCCTTCCAGCTTCAGGTATTTAAGGGGTGCAGGAAGAAGCAGAGAGTCATACTATTTATTTTGGTGACCATACTTCTTTGTATCAGCATAACTTTGTAGCTAGCTTAAACAGCACATTTGAGTTTGGTTCAGTAAGAATTGATTCAAAATAGGTTTTTTTAGATTTTTAATTTTTTTTTAAAGAAAATAATTGTACAAATAAGACTAGTGACTTACTAGGAGAAAACGAACTGTTTACGGGAATTTTTGAGGTGTAAAGGCCATGGACAGCTCTTTGTTCTGACGATAGGTTTGCAATCAACTTTGCAAAATCCCAGCTGTAGTGAAGCATTGTTGCCATTTGTGCATCTTGCCTTTTGTATTTTCTGCGTATTTGTTCATGTTTTTCCAGTTAATTTTTTGCCATCCAAATCATACAGAATATATCACTTCCTTAAATATTTGACAGTATTTATAAACCTTATCTAAAAGGTCCCCCATCTTCAGGGTTTTTTTCTTTTTTTAATTTGATTTTCCATGTGACACCCTCATCCAATGTTGTATGAGGACTGTTGTTTGTATGGCCAAAGAGCAGCTGGGCAAATTCATGGAAGCCTAATCTCTTGAGTGCTATTAAATTCTCTACCTCTTACTAGGAAATCCTTGAACCAGGGTTTTCTGGATGATGAGAGAGCATTATGTAGAAATGTCTTGACCTGGGTATTTCCTATGGTTTTGACAGAGAAAGAACATGAGGTTGTTTAAGTGAATTTTTGTTCTGACCCACTAAGCTTAGCTTGGTTTTTCTCTAGTTTTTTTTTTGAGCAGCAATAGCTGCTCTGGTTTTTACATGCAGATACAAACCTTTTCAAGAATGAGAAGCATTAATACAAAAGAAGCTTTGCAATTATTTCTCTTTGATTTTTGTTGTTGTTGTTTGTTATTTACAACTGCCAGCTAAACATTTTGAAATAAGAAAATGGAAAAAAGCCTCCTGGTTTTTGTATTCGCACTTTCCTAACTTCAATAAGTATGTCTTCTGGTGAGAACTGTTCTAGATGAAGTATATAAATTTTTAGTAGAAGCAAAAGCCTTTAGGTTTTTCTTCCCCCTTCTTAAATACATTATACCAGAGGTGCTACCACTATTGCTGATGGGCTCAGTCTTGGCCAGCGGTGCATCCATCTTGGAGCCAGCTGGCATTGGCTCTGTGAGGCATGGGGAAGCTTCTTGCAGCTTCTCACAGAAGCCACCCCTGTAGCCCCCCCCCCCACTACCAAAACCTGGCCACAAGTGGTTAAAGCAGAAAGATTGAAAGACTCATCACATGCGAAGTATAAAGCAGAGAGGGAGTCACTTGTTCTGTTCAATTATTGCTGTCGAGAGAAATCTGATTTTGTGGTTCATTGGTTAGAAAGTATACTTTCTTTAACCTTAGGACCCTCAATTTTTAGCCAGTTTTTGTTGAGCATGATTGGAGACTTACACATTGAGAGTTTTTAAGGTTTTTTAATTTTTTTTAATTGTGCAGGACTGTTGCTTGTATAAAAGGCCTTTAATATTGTTGCTAGTTTTTGTTAAGGTGATTTTCTCAAAAGATGAAAGTTTTAAACCAATATCAGAATAAAGTTTGATGTCTCCAACTTTTTTACCATTGCTGTAACAATTTTAATCTCTTTTTCCTGAAGATGGAAAAATAAACTTTTTTTTCACATTAAACAAAAACCAGTCATAGAATCATTAAGGTTGGAAAAGACCTCAAAGATTGAGTCCAACCTTTGACTGATCGCCACCTTGTCAACTAGACCATAGTGAGTGCCACATCCAGTTGTTTCTTGAACAGCTCCTGGGATGGTGACTCCCCCACTTCCCTAAGCAGCCCATTCCAGTGCTTAACAACCCTTTCTGTGAAAAATTCTTCCCAATGTCCAACCTGAACCTCCTCTGGCACAGCTTGAGGCCATTTCCTCTTGTCCTGTTTGAAGAGAAACTGTTGTTGGTTGTTGATTTAGAAAACTTAAGTATATGAATGTTGCCTAAAATTTACTCTTAAAAGAAACTTCTGAGACTCAATTTGTGAGTTTTAGCAGCCAGACATTCTTTGATACAATGCGGTCACAGCATGCTGGGTGCCCTGGGAATCAGCTCCCAAAATGCACACAGGGGTATCTACATGATTATTCACTTTTCATGAATAATTACGTATTCATGACATTTCCCAACACCTATTAGCATAAATACATATCCGTATAAGGTCTCTGAGAGGCTTCACTGGTGGTCTCTAGTGGTTGTCTGTGTCTGGAACCCCCCAAAGTTCTAAGGGACTACCTATGAACTTCTTTAAGACAATACACCTGGTTATAGAGTAACTTGGTATTGCTTGGCTGGCTGCCTCAGTTCCCTTCTTCATTGTTTCTTTGCTTTACTTGGTTAGTCCTTTTAAAACACTTGGCTCAGCTACATGTAGTTTCTGGGATACATTCTACTGCCAAAACCATTAGTTCTTGTTACATATCAGAACTCAGATACTGTGAATATTTAACGTGTATCTGTGTTACAAAAGTTTAGGTAGGTTGTAAACAGATGTTTTTTATGGACAGAAAACAAGTTTTATTTGGCAGAGTTCATAGTTAATATATGTTAGTTAAATATGTGTCTTTTTTTTTCTTGTAATGTTGTTTCTGTAGTCATTAGAAATGTAATCTCTGTCATTTGGAGAACACTGTTTTGCTTTGTCTTCATAGAGTACAAGGATGTATGAGGATGTATTTATATTGGAAGTTAGGCAATAGGCATTCATAGTTCAGCTGATTAGCATTTTTATGCTAAATAGATAAGGAAATCAAATATATCAAGGAAAATTCAGTTTCATTTAGGACTAATTGTGAAGCTTAATTCTTTATTTTTAATTGATAGGAATTGTTTTGATGAATTTGAGTTATCATAGTATTTATCTGAAGTGGATCATTTTATCTCCTGAAGGAAAAAGAAAATACAAAAGTGTTAATAATCTGCATCTTTGCCTCTTTCAGACAACCCCATGGTTTACTCTGCCTACGGCTGAAGTCATCTCTACTTGCAGTTTTGCTCTCCGTTGCTCTGCTTCACAGGAGAGGTAACTGTTTTAAAATCAAAATATTTCCTGTAATTCCTCAAATCTAGTAAATGTGCTTGTAATGATAGATTTAGTACTTGCTTTTTCTGCTGAGAGATTTTTGAAAGCAAAATAGTTTAATCCCTGTACCTTGACACTGCCTCTGAGTGGGTGTAATGCTATCTTTACACAGTGTAGTCTAATGAAAAGTTAGCGTGGAGTGTTTAGGAAATATGAATGGAAGATACCTGTCTATATTTGGCTGTCTTTTTTTCCTTAAGTGTTTTTCCTCTTTTTTTAAATACTCTCAGATTTTCATGGATCTCAACAGTGCTAGCACTGTTGTTTTGCGAGTCTTGACCCAAGCTACTAGCCAAGATACTGCAGTATTGAAGCCAGCTGAGGAACAACTGAAGCAGTGGGAGACACAGCCAGGTTTTTATTCAGTCTTGTTGGTAAGATACAGTGGAAAAGTGCTATTAAGTAAACTTTAAATAACGACAATAATGGAGAAGTCACCTGAAGGCTGGGTTCTGACCAGAATAAGAAATTACCTTGTGTTGTGCAGTGCGACAGACTTCTGGGAGCTATGTCATTAAAGCTATGTCATTAATAATTCGCTGGTTCTATTGATTATTACCCTTTTATTCCCTGCTCAGCCAGACAAGATTAGCAGCACATTTGCCTTATGTGTTGTTTTTTTAATAAATTAAGTACTATGGCTAGTGATAAACATATTTTTAATCTCTAAAAATTAATGTTTAAAACAGCATTTCACTTGCCTGTCTAATGCATTTTGTTTATGTACACCCATACATATAGAGATATGTGTACTTATGTATGTACCAGGGCATTTGTTGATACAATTTCTGTCCTGTTTGTAGTTGTTGTGCAGTTTTTAACTTAATTTTTTTTTAACAGAATATCTTTACAAATCATAGCTTGGATGTGAATGTAAGGTGGTTAGCTGTGCTGTACTTTAAAAATGGAATTGATCGCTATTGGAGACGGGTGGCACCACAGTAAGTTCTGTGTTTCTCCTTTTAACCTACAGCTGGCTTTGTAATGGTTGCTAAACTGGAAAACAACAGATCCTTAGTTCATAGAAGTTACTTTAGAATTTACAGTGAAACTGATAAAATGTTTCAACTTTAGGACTTGGTAATAAACCATTTTGTCTTTATATTGCTTCTTATGACTGTTCATGACTTACTTTTGGAAACTAAGTTATAAGGCTGTTTCATAGATACCAGATTTGAAGTGATGCAGTAAGTGTTACAACGTTAACACCTGGACTTTCTGATAGTAGCTAATATAAAACATAGTAAATCTCTTGGAGAATGACAGAGACATTTTGTTTCATTTAAGCTGATTCATATTGCAGATGTCCATGGGAAAGAAGCAGTAGCTGTGATGCTAGCATGTTCTGGTCTTCATGTTTTTGTTGTTCTGATGTGTGGGTTCTGATAAAGCATGATGAAAAATTCTCCAAAGAAGATCAGAAATACAAGCAGTATTCATGAGTACCACATCATTTACTTAAAAATTACAAAAAGTGCCTTTTTAATATGTAATACGTACAGAATTAGGTACTTCTCAGTGTTTTGTCTGTACTTCTTTTTTTCTTTTAAAAATAAGTGTAATTTCAAGAAGAGTTTCAGTTCCAGAACTCATAAAGACCTGCAGGTGTTCACTCTCTCTGAAGTGTTCAGTATCTCTTAAATGCTGGTAATATAGATGGGACATCACTGTCAGGTTCAGGGTATTGAATTGGAATTCTCAGTCCTGTTTTTATAAATTGTGAATTTAAGCTAGTGCACAAAGTGTGGCACAAAGTATGATTTTCAGTTCTTTGCTTGAAGTAGTTTAATGAATTTTGCCTTACATTGTAAGCTCTTCCAAAGATCTACCAAAAGAGAGAAAAGTTATAAAATTCTGTATCCACAGCATACTTGAAATAGTGTAGTACTCTTTCATTATTATGTAAAACACTAGAGTATTTGTATGTATGGATTAGTATACAATTGAAAATCACCTGCAAGCATTTGGATTCTCTTTTGTGTGAAAAGAAAATACCATCTTTTGCATGGAAGATGGCATATATCTTTGACGTTTCTGGCTAATGAGATGCTGGTTACAATACTGGTACTTAGTAAGCATTATCGCAAGAAAATAACTATAGTTTCAATTTGTTAATATTTTTAGATACTAGTAGCATTTCTGGTGAAAAAAATCATGGTTTATTTCCTGCAGAAGTAATGACTACAATTTTACTGTTTGAACTGAGGTAAAAATTAAGTAACAATCTTTCAATGTAGTTTTCCTGCAGTTTTAAGTTAAATGTAATTTAAAAAATAAAAAAAATTACTGTCTTATTATTAAAGATTCCATGTGGTGAATCTATATTGAATTTACAATGCAATCCTATTTTATCCCTGTTTCTAATTTTTCTGCCACTCTTTTGCATTTTTTAAATGCAATTAAAGTATAAAATAAATTTTAAAAATTATTGGCTGCTGCTAGAGAGTCCATGAGGTCAATACATACTAAATTTTCACTCTGTGTCCAACAGTTTTTCCATTTCCAGTCTTCTTTCTAAATTTCTTATATGTGACATCCTGTCAGCACTCACCCAGATGACTTTTCTCATAGCAAAGTATGTTGAGGGTATTTTGAGAAATGCCAATTTAAGCTGTAACTTCTCAGTTGATTGTTTTTTGATTGAATCGTATTTTGGATGTCATGAAGGATTCATTGCATTCTTGTTGTCCTTGCAAAATTCATGTCTTTCATATTGTATCTCTCATTAGTAGCTGTCCCCTCTCCATCCGTAGTAGTACATCAAAGCATGTTTTGATCTACAGATCAGACTTAAAACAGCATTTTTCAGTGGGAGTGATTTTGGAGATGAGCTTGTGAACTTTCTCCCTCCTGTTTTTTCAGGCAGCTTTATAGATAGGCATGAGCCTAGGCTTATCATAGCCTCTTTTCAGGCACAGTTTGGCCTCTTTTTTGAAACTTATTGTCAGCCTCCTCAAAAGGTTGTGTCACTTGATGATTTTGTAGGTGTTTTTATTTTCTTCAGAAATGGCTTTTCTTGAATTCAAATGTTGAACACGTTTTCGGTATTACAGATAATTGCTTTTAAATCCTGTTTCTTGTGAACCTTGTTCTTTTATTTGAGTACCACGTTAGCAACTTTAATAATACTTTTCAAATCCAGTTTTTTATTTGAATGGTAACTATAAATAACTCCTCATAAGCCAGAAATCCAAAATAACTTTTAAAATATTTGGATGCCTGTTTGCCCATACCACAAACACAGAATAAGATCAGTGAAACTTTGAAATTGCAAGCTGTGAAGGACTATGGCTTAAATACTTAGAAGTCCATGTCTAGATGAACTTGTTTTAGTTTTTGGGCTGGTGTAATTCAGTGTTGAAGGGAAATAACTCGCTGAGTGATACACATTCCTCCTAACTGCTTGCCTGCTGGAAACTTTTATGTATGGAATTGTGGGACTGTCTTGCAGTGGGAAGATGAGGACAGTGGTGCCAGTGGCGATGTCCGTGGCTCCTGCAGGGGCGGTTGGGAGTGTCTCTGTTCTCCGACAGGTGTCACTGTTGTATTTAGACAGTAAATTCCTCCAGCCACGGTCGGAGAACCCTTAGAGATCCCGTCACACAGTACCGTGTACCGCTTGCATCAGCACCTGATTTCTAAAATTTTTTTTTCATTACTGTTTTCTAACTTTACTTATCACAAGCGTCTGTATTTGAGGCATTCATCCTCATTATTCTATTTCTTTTCCTGCCTTTGTTTTGTTTGCCATGGCAAAAGCCTAATTACAGCATTTTTATTTACGGTAAATAGTGAACTGAATTCTGCTGCTCTTAGACTATGCATATGATAAGTTCAATGTAATTATAATAATGAAAAAGTAATTAAGGCAAGGGCTCTCATGAACTCACAAAGAAGGTATCTGAAATAATGCAGTAGAACAGGGTTTTTTTTTTCTTTACAAACCAGGTTTTATGTGTTTTCTATTATTTCTGAAAGGGAGGTGTTGTACAAGCTATATTTAATTGAGAATAGAATTCTTAATTGTATTAATAAGAGATTTAAGTTTTAGAAAGGACTTAGAGTATGTCTGTACGTGTGGAAATTATATACTGCATTTTTATATTATAAAAAAGGACCACAAAAATTTATTTTCATAAAATATAATCTAATGGGTTTAGATTAATAAATTGAAGAGTTACCTGCAGAAAAACTTATTGTTGCAGAAATCCTTGTAAATTTTACCTAAAATGTTTTTAGGCATAATTTAATTTTATTGAGAAAAATCTTAAAAGTCTAAGTCTTGATTAAAAAAAATTAAATTTAAATGTGGTTCCTGAATGCTGTAAATGACCTGTGACAAAAATACCTAGTGTACAGTTTTGAGTCACTAGTAAAACAATGACTTCCTCCCCTTGTCTACTGTACTTTGAATGATAAATCTTTGATCTAGGAAATAGAGACTACTTGTGTTATGTGCAGAGCCTGCGGCAGGAAGAGAAGACTGTAATTTTTTGCAAACATTTGACCCCATGATAAATCCTACTTCTGGTTTATTTATTATTTTGAGATTAATATCTAGTATTTGTCTAGATTAGTGTAAAAGCTATGCTTTAGGGAGCTTTAGGCATCATTTTAAATCTCAATATGTGGAAGTAGTAGGTTTGTATTTGGTCAGAAAACAGGAAGTGGTTGTGTTGGTGTGTTTAATCTTCTTAATTTCCAGCCATTAGTCTTCACTGAGATGTGATGTTTGCATTCATGCTTCTGAATCATTGCAATTTTAGGTGGAACTGTTTCATTTAAACAAGCTTGGGTGATAGCTTAAAGGCTTTTTATGAAGAAGAAACAGCACTATAGGTGCTATCACTGAATTAAAACATGTTGGAGTTTTCTTGTTCTTTTTTTTTCCCTGCTAGTATAATCTATAAATACTAATAAAGCACTTTCAAAACCACTGTGTTGTGATTTCTACCTAGAAATTATAAGAAAATTGCATGAGTCATGAAGTCTGAAGTAATAGAGGAATGATATGATACTGTAACTTGTAGTCTTAAACTGATAGAGGTCACTTAAAATGAAGTATTAAGATGCCACAAAGTTGCACTTGAATGCAAATTAACCTTTACGGCTTAGAATTTGTCTTTCTTACTGTTCTCCCCTGCATTTTTTGGAGAATGTATCAACATACGTTTCACCCAAAGCTATAATTTTCAAAGGGTCCATACTTTAAAATATAAATATATAACTTGTTTGTAATAGAAAAGAACTGTTGCTTTTGCAAGAAGAGTTTTCATCTGATAGATAAGGTGATTGCCTTATTCTGGGCATTTCTTGGTTATGGTCCATTAGTATACATGGACAAATTCATGCTCAAATTATCAATCTTGGCAGTAATAAGTCTATAATAATTGTCAAATAGCAATCAGTTTGTAATTTGTACAGTTTTATGTTTTTCCTTTATATATCTGTGTATCTTACTCTGTCAGCTCTCTCTTTTGCCATCTCAAAACCTGAGGTTAAAAGGTATCATAAGTATTTGTTTCACTGTTCCCTCTCTTTTAAAGAATTGAGGTAGTGGAAAAACAATGAATGTTCTTTTGATAGTTTTGATACTATTTTCAGTAGTTACATATGAATTAATAGTAGTTTTTAATATCAGTAATATTCTGATAAATATATCCTGACAGTGCTCTCTCTGAAGAAGAAAAAACTACGTTGCGTGCTGGACTTATCACCAACTTTAATGAGCCAGTGAATCAGGTTAGTGGTGAATGTTTACTACTCTCTCAGCAAATGGTTTTATTGGTATATGACTTGATTTCTTTCTTTATAAAGTGTTTAATTATAATAATAAAGTTGCAGTTTTCATATTGTCTTTCAAACAGATCTTTATGTTGAAGTGATATCTTTTTCCATATGTCATAATTCATAAAATTATAGAATTATATTGGTTGGAAACATGTTTTGTCTTTTTGGTGTTTTTTTTTGTTGTTGCAGTGACAGTTTATGTTGTCTCTTACCTAAACAGCAAGGTTTATGCAACCGTTTTGATGAAGTGGTTCCAGGAATGGATGTAGCTCAAAAATAACCTTTCCTAGAATGATTTTTGGATTTTTTCAGCTGTATCTGTTCTCTGACCTGACTTCCAGTATGGCCATACAAGGAAGTGTGGTGGTTATGGTGGTGTAGCAGGAATGAGCTGTTGAGATTGCTGCAGGATAAACCCACCAGTATTGCTGTTACATGTCTAGTTACAGCATTAATTCATTTAAATAAGCTTAATAAAGTTTCAGTGTGGTAGTTTCTTGTCTTACATAAAGTGACTAATTATAAGCTTCTATTTTGATTAGAATAAGAATTTATTATTATGTTGAGTATAGAACTAATGTTAGGGACTCAGAATATGCTTATACTAGATGAATCAAACTTCCTTCTGCTAACTTTTTCTTTATCTTGTAAGTATGAGATTCTGCAAGGAAGTATTTGGTAGTATTTTTAGCTAGATCGTAAAGAACTTTTTCAAGAAAATACAGAAATGATTGGCATAAGCTAAATGTTAAAAAGAACATAAACTTCTGCTCTGCAGGTGGTTCAATTTTAACTTTTCAGGATTCCTTGATGGGATTAATGTAATTTCTAGGATTAGAGCAATTTATCAAAATTAGGGTAATTTAGTCTTTGTAGAAGACCCTCGTGCAATGACAATTTTGACTAGAATTAAAAGTTTTAATAGCAAATGTGGTTTTTTAAAAAAGAAGGTATATAGAAAATATTCTAAAATTTGTAGTCAAAGTATAGTTTCAATGTAAAAAGTATGACCAAATATTATTTGTTTCTTTATTTCAACCAAAAAGAACTATGAAGCATGTCAAGTTAGACCATAGAGTGTGTATTTATGCTTCTACTAAGTAGTATATAACTTAACAAATGTTTCATTTTGAAGAGTTTGCATGTTTTTTACGTATGTGAATAGGTAAATTAGGTATAAAAAAGCAGTATTAACAACGTTCATAAAACAATTCAAATTTTGTATCACTTTTTCCATACCTTTATTAATCTGTAATCAGTTTACCTGCTAAGACAATAGGATGGCATATTTTGTAGTTATAAATTCCACTGCTGCTGAGCAGTTCTGCAGTTCTGAGACTATAGTTGCAGCTAAGATTAGAACCTTTTTAAATGACATTTTAAAGACTAGTGGCTTCATGGTTTTGTTTGTCTGTTCTTTATGATATTTTTTGGGATGTCATTTTTTAAGGTGTGGAGGATTTTGTTTTATGCCAACAGCCTAAATAATTACCCAAACAATGTGTGCAATATTACAGAGTCCATCTCCCCTTCTTTCTTCTAGTTCCCCAGTCTATAGATATCCTGAGGTTTCCTTTCAGGTGAACCTTTCATTTAGTCCCCAGCCTGCTTGATATGTCAGAGTTTTGATATCCTGTGTTCCTGATGAGTGCTCTTTTCCAGTCGCAGATAGTTCATAGCATGGTTGCTTTCTGCTTGTGCTTTTTGCATCATTGGAGACAGAGAAATTATGACTCTTGCATGTATACAAAGAAGAACAACACAAAAATGTGAGAAATAGACATAAGTATTGAGATGTGATGATACAACTTGACTTCCAGGAGAGGTGGAGAAGAGCAAGAGAACATACCATATGTTGAGAACCTAATTTTCATGCTCTCTGAATGCATTTACCGTATGGAGACAACAGAGGAGCAAAACAGTCCTTCAAATGTACGACAGCAGAATCTTTTTTTTTTTCTTTTTTTTTTAACTTAAAAAGCCAATCCTCAAGGATTGCTTCTTGTATGATGTACGGAGAGGAGTTTATTTGCTCCCCACTGCCAATTGAAATAATTTGTTCTGATAATCAGTAAGACTCCCAGCTCTTCCTTGTGAATGTTGATGTCATTTTCCTGAAGCAATTCTCTGTAAGCGGGTTGGTAGGAATGAATATAGTAGAAAGCTTTGTGAGGTGATGAGGCTCTGGATTAAACAGATGAGGAAGCAGTAGAGGAGGGCACAGCTATTCCCCCTTAGACTTGTAAATTGCTTGGATTCCTTCTGGTAGCTTAAGAAGGTGACTTCTTTACCAGGCTGGAAGTGTGATGGTATAGTAATGGTGTGTTGAAGGTGAGAGCATCTGCTTCACTAATCCAGTCAAGGATCCTTTCAGTAGAAATGGGATAAGAACAGGGAAAACAAGATTGTGAAATTTCTGGATGTTTGAGGTGGGGTTTTGAGGGACCATACAAAATTTAGTGAGGAATGTTTAGGGGAAGGGAGTTGCAAAAGTAGCAAAGTGTGGAATAGACAGAAAGAGGGCATAAGACAGGCTAGTCAAGTAAACCATGGATCTTTATCTGTGTCTGAACAAACCATGTGCCTAATCATCACTGCCTGTCCTGTCTTCTGATTGCATCCACTACCTGTCTCGCTGTGTAATCTCACTGTGTTCATCATGTGTGTGGGCTGCAAGGATGAGGTGCCAGCTACTGGCAGAACTGGTGTGAATGGAATTTTGGGCCAGCAACCAAAGTCAGATGGTGGGAGTGGTGCAGGTGCCCCTGGCGTGTGATGTGAAGATCTGGAGCAAGAGAGTCTCATCTTCAGCTAGTGGGATGGGACCATGGCTTACCATGCCTGGCAGTGGGAATGGCTCTGTCTAAAACCTGAACTCAGGTAGAGCTGAATTTTAGGGGTAATGTGTATTCAGCAGTCTGTGTTCACAGAAAGTGATAGAAAAGATTGCTAAGTGAAAAGTGGTTCCCAAATATCTGTTTCTTCATTTATGTGATTTCTAGAACAAATAAATTTACTGATCTTTATATAAAATTTAAACAAGGTGTCAAGTTTAGCATTTTATGTAAATAAAATAAAATACTTTTACTCCACATTTATTTGCATTCATCGAACTTAAAAATAGGTTGAGGAAAAGCACATAAAAATCTAGCAATCCATGCTACTTTTTTGATTCAGGTTTTAATTTTCTGTTAATTTCTGCATTGTACATTTCCTAAATGCCCTTTGACTTTGTGTTATCTGTTTTTTGTTTTGCTTTTTTGCAGATAGCTACTCAGATCTCTGTACTGATTGCTAAAGTTGCCAGGGTGGACTGCCCAAGGCAATGGCCGGAACTTATACCCACTCTTGTAGAATCTGTGAAGGTGCAGGATGATCTTCAACAGCACAGAGCACTACTTACCTTTTATCATGTTACAAAGACCCTGTCATCCAAACGGCTTGCTGCAGATAGAAAACTTTTCTATGATGTAAATAATCCTTGCCTCCTCCTGGGCTTAGCTGGCAGGGCATTAATGGCATGTCTGTGGACTTGAATGTCTGCCCTTGAAACAGAAATGCTGGTGTGGTGGTGGGTGTATGTATATTATGAAATTAATTTTTCATGCAGCTGGAGTGTTCCTATCTTGATTTGTGTAAAGAAGCAGAGTTTCATCTACAGAACAATATCTGCATATCAGCCTTATCATGCCATACAGCAGATCTTACTTTATGTGAATTTATGGTGTTTTTTGGAAGTGTGCTCTGGATTTATAATTCATTATAGTCTTTAAAAAATACTGGGTTGTAGACTTCCATACTACTGTATTTTTGGTTTTATCATCAGTGGGAATATGTTTGCGGTTTTTTCCAGACCAACTCTCTAGGTTAATTAAAAGGCGAGATGAAAATGCAAATGCCAAATCTTGTCTCATGCAGCTTACATTTTCCCTTATAAGAATACAGTGATTAGAACACAGATCTAACTTCTGTTGTAGGCTATGCATCTCCAGACCCATTTGGAGTTAGATAACAATGTAGCACAGTTAACTGAATTTAGTGAGTTAAATGTCGTTGTTGGGACAGACACCACACTGGGGTTTCACGCAGAAAAGCCTTTATTTCATACAAACATGGCCAATTTATAGTCTCTCCTAGCCAGCGTGTTTCACCACCATTGGTGCCCTTACTACATACACATCTTAAGATTGGCTGCTCTATAGCTTCTGCAACTCAGGGTCACTCAGCAAACAGTCCAGGCTCTCTGGCTATCACAGCTGCCCCACAGCTCTGTCCTCCCTGTCCACCCTTCTCATCTTCGTTGTTTACATTCCTTCACAACTTCACAGCTACAACCACTCAAATTCAGGGCCCAAGCTGTCCACAGCTCAATTGCCTCCCACAGTTAAACATCTTTTCCAAACATGTTACATTTGCATTTTCAAAATTTTATTTTATTCCCCCATTTTAAAGAGTTTCTAAAGCACAAAAAATGAAGACTGTTTTTGGAGGTTTACCTATTTATCCATGTAGAAAAAAGTTCTGTCTGTGTAATCATGAAGGTGAAATTTTAATTGCCAGGAGTCCAAGGCATTGAGGACTGACTCCTGTAAATAGGACCTTTACTAACCTTTACTCAGCCAAAAGAATCAAATAAACAGGTCATGTGCTTTTTATTCCATTGATGGGGTATAGCAGACTAAGTGCGGACTTTCTTAATTATGAAGCTGTCAAGTGCTGCCATAACTGAGTGAGAAATTCTTTATCTTCTGTTTATAATTCACATATCTTTATCAGGCAAGCACTGTTTGGGAACTGTAGCATAAATTAGGTTTGAGATTTATTTTCAACAAAATAGTTTTGTTGTAGGCATTGTTCAAGACTGCTTTTATTAGAGAGAGGTGTGTAACTGCTGTGTCCCAGAGTAAGCTGATTCAGATATTAACTATGCTGTAAGACAGACAGTTTAAGTCTTATGGGAGAAGAGGTGAGGAGGAAAGCTGCTCGTTTTTTGAAGCTTAATACTATATTATATACCAGCAGTTGTATTTAATGAGAACCAGGTAAGAAAGTAGCCTGAAATAGTTATCTTTAACGTTAGAGTCATAGACCCAAGTACTCAGGGAAACCACTGGGTATTTCAAAACATCTTGAAATTAGGACAAGGTATTTTTCTGGAAAACATTTTTGGATCAGTACAACTCAAAGCAGCAAATTAAACATTGTGGCCTGTGATATAGAAGAAAATGGATTAAATAATTTAACGGTAGACATTGGCCTTTAAAATTTAGGGATTTATTTTGCTATGACAAAGTTCAGGAAATATATTCTTGATCTTTCTTCCTTTTGCAGCTTACATCAAGTATTTATAGCTTTGCATGTTCCTTGTGGAATCATCATACGGATACATTCCTACAGCAGATTTGTGTGGGGAATGAAGCTGCAGCTGCAAATTCACTAGAAAGAACCTTGTTGTCATTGAAAGGTAATAATATAGAATGATATTAAATATAAAGAATCAAATAACTTTCTTCACAGTGAATGAGTAGGAGTTCTTTGGTCAATAGTTCACATTCTCTAACAAAGCCAAGCCCATTGGGAAAACCAGTAATCTTGGTTTATTTTACCTGTATCTTTAGCAAGGCAGAATGAGGATTTCACATATGGGAGACAGTAGTCTTGTATGCACCACTTCTCAGTATGCACCCTTTCAATGTGCTTGTTGTAAGAAGTCAAAGTCTAGGAGGTGAGAAAGTGGAAGGACGTAACAGGATGCTTTTTTCGTGTGCTGTAATTTTGGCTTGCATTAAGCACTTACTTGGTGAAACTGAGCTACGAGTTTAATTCCATTAAGTTCACCTTATGTCCAGTGAAGAGCTAACCTTAGAAGTTTATCTTTAGGTTGATGCTCAAATGCTTATCTGTGGAGTAAATACATATCCTGACTGTACTTTGTGGCTTTGAAGAATTGAGATGTCCATGTGCCTTGCTTGCAATGTAGATAATACCTGTCTTGAATTGTTTCACAAAGTGCAGCATGCAGCTTTTCTGTATTGCTGGCAATGCAGAACTGAGAGAATTCATAAGATGGCTTGCTTGACTGTACTTGGCCCTTTTCATACTGTAGAATCATTCGGAGATTGAATACTTAAAGTTATTACAGAATTCTTCTTGATTCAGTAATTCTTGGCATTCTCTTCATTGTTTTACACAATATACTGAATTTTAAAGTAATTTCAGCAAGGTTAATGTTCGATATGGATGAGGCACCCAGGGACCTAAACTTAAGTGTAATTTTTAAAATGTAGACTTGGAAGAAAGTCACAGCAACTGGAATTGTAATTGTGTTCTGAAATCTGTTGAAACAAGAGCTGATAAATAGCTATGAAAGTAATTTTTTTTTTCCTAGTGCTTCGGAAACTAACAGTTCATGGCTTTGTAGAACCTCATTGGAATGCAGAGGTGATGGTAAGCGACATGTATATATTTCTAGTTCTAGATTAGAAATCTTTTGTGATGATTTCAGATGTTAGGGCTATGTTTGAAAATTGTTAAAAGACACACATTTTTGTTGTGTAAAGGAAGATCAAGCAATGTGTTCTCAAAGTTGTCCTCAGACAACTGTCAGATCTTAGGTAGATCCTAAACACTGTGACGCTAGTGGCATGATGTTTAAAAGAAAAAAGATACCCCTTCCAATTTACACATAACATGATGGTGACATCACTGTTTCTCACTGAAGGATATCTTACATATACTCTCCCCCCCCTCATGTAAAAGCATATTTTCATTTAGTGGTGAATGTGATGCCATATTTGTTCTATCACATCCTATTGATGGAATTTTTTGATTGAGATAAAAGCCTGTGGTATGCAGCCATGGAGAGGGGAGGGTCAGAGAAAGAAACCCAAGCACCTTCCTTAACCCTGTTCTGCTGGATGAATTGAGTACCTGCGTCCTATGTCCTAAGCTAGGAGGTTGAGAACAGGATAGGACTGGATAAGCATATTTTAAAGCATATGTCTATAGTTACCTATCCCTTCTTCTACTAGAGATGCTGTTTGTGTAGTATTAATAAGGTCAGTTTGGATCATCTATGAAGACTGCTTCCTAGCTAATTATTAATTCCATGAGGAAATTGTTTTCCAAAATAATGAAATAAGTTAAAAGTGATGAGGTTGAGTCTGAGCTGGTACCATATCTGAACTTCAGTTTGACACAACTGTTTTTATAATACAGTGCAAACCAAGCTTCATCCTTAAAAGACATGTATACTTTCATTTTTCAGGGTTTTCTACATGCTGTGTTTGAACGGCTGAAACAGTTTTTGGAGTGTAGTAAGTATCTGGATATTTTTTGTTGTATTTGTTGTTAAACAATGGAAGCTGGATGAAAACAATGCAGTTTAGAGCATTATCAATAGGGCATTAGGTGCAAGATACGTTTTTATAAGTGCAAAGCTATTACTTTAAATCTTGCTGAAACTGTCAGAGAAGAATGCAGTAAAAGTGTCTTTTGTTATAAACAGACTAAAATCCCACCAAAATTATATTTGGTGTCATAATGCTAATGGGGGAAAAATCTTAAGTCTTGGATTGACAAGGTATCCATATTAAAATATGGAGCTGCTACTAAAACCCGGATCATCTTGAGTTTTCCTCTTTGGGAGAGTTCTATGTTTTTTCTTTTTTTCAGTAGTTTGTTATATATTTTGGTATATGTCAAATGGGAAATAAAAACCATATTCAAATTTTTGTTGTTTGTAACTGGAAGAGTAGTACTCTGAGACAGGCAACCACAGGTTAACACAGTCAACAGAATCAGAAGCATAATTGGCAGGTGTTAGTGCTTTTGCAGGGAAGTTACCTGAAGCAAGCAAAAAGGAGATGTTTGACAGTGTTGCATCTGAACTCACTGTACCTTCCTCGTGTGTGCACTTGTAATAGGTCTGATGTGAGCTGTTCAGTCCTTTGAAGCCTGCCAAACCATTATTTTAGGATTCAACAACGCTTTTTCCAAGAACAGATGTCTAAACTGAGTAGAAAGAATTTTTTTGGTATAAATTATGTATAATTTTAATATTTTCAATTTTGATGAGGTTCCTTGGCTTAGGAGCCTGTACTTAGGTAAGAGGGGCTGATCTGGACTTTGAACCTCATTTCTAGAAGAGATGGAAACAACCACTGTTTGCCTCTTTTGCTATACTGTAATCAGGTTCTTTCTGGCACTTCCCTCATTTTTTACAAGATAGGTGCCTAGTTTGAGTCGACTGAATTGAAGGCCATCCCATCCTGAAGTTTGGTTGTTATTGTAGTCCCCTAGAATATGAGGACCCGTGGGGTTTGCGTGTCCTAAGTCAAGAACTGAACTGAACCTTCCCATTTCCACTTTTCTAAGCAATAAGTTGTTTTGCAAAAGCAGGTACAACTACCTCACAGGATTAGTGTTTACATTTATTATACCATGGGTTTTGCCTGTATGCCTTCATTATGGCACTTTCTGTTTTTTTCTTTTTTTTCCCCCTAAAATCTTTATTTTTTTTTGTTTTGTTCCTTTTTTGTCTTTTAATTTAGAGTGTTTTCTAGTGTCCATAATAAATTATTCTTTAAGGTGGAGTTTTTACAAAAATGAATAATGTTATGCAATAAGGATATAGAATAGTCTTATTAAAAGGACATTTTCATATTTTTAGTACTGATTTACTTTTTTCCTGTACTAGCATTTGCTTCATTGCATTCATTGCTATCATTAAATATTCTGTAATGATGTCCCGATTGTTGTAGCCTGATCAAGTACAGTGAATTTCACTGCAGCTGAGAGAAATGGTTAAGTTTGTTTTTTTTTTCCTGGTGTTTGTTACCTTGAATTCGACTTTGAATATATTCTGCCATAGAACTTTTTTCTGACTGACATAATGCCTGAACTACAGTAAAAATAAGTTCTTCTCCAGTGTTAATTTTCTAAAACTTAGCTACCCAGAAAGAAAAGAAAAGTCTGAAAAATGATAGTTGTTAAATGTCTGATTTACCAGGTAGAAATATAAGAGCAGAAAACATATGCAGAGATCGTCTAGAAAAGACTATAATTCTGTTCACTAAAGTGGTAAGTAAATTCTCCTTTAAGTTACTGAATATTTTATAGTTCTGGAGGAGCAGTCCCCATCAAGATATACATGTGCCTTGAAGTGAATATATTTCAGATCTTTTAAAGAAATGGAAGGTACTGCAACTTAAAACTTCTTTGTTATGAAATGTATTTTTGAAGAAAAGGATGTCTGTTTACTCATGCTGATGTAGATTGCAGCCGTGAAGAATACATTTTCTTAGCTCAAACAAAATAAGGTGCATTCCATAAGTAAATTATTTAGCTACGATTTTGCTTGAAGCATTCTGGAAGTTTTGCTAAAACAATGGTAAGGGTACTGAGGAATAAAGAAGAGAAACTTTTCTTCCTATGTTTTGTAAGTAGTTAGATCGTGACTTCTAAGGCCCTGTTAGTTCTGTGAAATTACTGGCCACTCTTAAATTTTATCAAAAGAAACTTAACAAAAAACTCTCTTACCCTCTGTGACTTTTGTATTGCGTAATACGTTCGGAGTTGTCAGCTAAATCTGTGTTCCTTAAATGCATATATTATTAGAAGGTAATTTTAGCATTGTCACTTGCTCTGTTTTTTGTTTTGAAGTTAAAAACCTACAGGGTTCCCATTGTTTTCAGATTCTATTTAGGGGCCATGGATGTATTTTAAATATTCAGCCTAATTATCAGAAGGGGAAGGCACCCATCAGCTTCACCAAAATGGAACTGAAGATGCTATGACCCAATATTTTTGGTCTTTGTCGTAGTACTTACATTGCAAAAGTGCATCTTTTTTCACAGACCTGAAGAGAAAATACACTTGATTAATAGATACTCTACTGTGTAGAAATTTGGATGCAAGAATTTTTGCAGTAGTAGAGGATTAAAGCAATCCACCAGTGCATTTTAAATGGGTAGTTGGAAAAGCTAAATTGAGAAAGCTTGTACTGCAGTGGAGGAGGAGGAGGAAAAAAAAAAAGTCTTATTCCACATGCCTCTTTTACTTAAAACAGTTCTAATAAGGATGAATTATCTGCTGAAATGTTCACCATTTCAAGTATGCCTAATGTATTTTATTTACTTCTAGCAATCTGGTCTAGTTGAAAATGAGTTTGTTCCTCAAAGTTAAAAAAGAAGTGATTTTGAACCGAAGTCAAGAATCTTGGTGTTAAATAATACTTCATTGATACTGATCTCTTTCTAATCTCCTGTCTGTGTTCAGTCTTCTATAATTTTATATAAGTTGATGCTTGTTTTTGGTAACTAGTTTACTAAAGCATTTAATAAGACTTGCACAAAAAGTGTTTTGATTTCTCATTCTTGCTTTTCTACTTCTTCTTTTAGCTTTTGGACTTTCTAGATCAACATCCTTTTTCGTTCACTACTTTGATTCAGAGATCATTGGAGTTCTCTGTGAGCTATGTTTTCACAGAAGCTGGTGAAGGAATTGTATTTGAGCAGTTTATTGTACAATGCATGAATCTCATTAAGATGATTGTAAAAAATTATGCATATAAGCCATCCAAAAATATTGAAGGTACTGCTGCTATTTACTAAAACCACTTTTTGTGTCTTGAGAAACATTTTGCTAGCTATTCCCAACGGTATAACTCCTTTATGAATGTCTTAATAATTAGTAAGGCTTCGGTCTCTATATTAATAATTCTTATTTTAATTTTTAAAGTATTAATTTATATAGATGGTGACTTGACAAAGAAAATTTAAATACGAAAGGATCATGAATATCTTTTCTTTTTTGATTCTTTTAGTTTTCATTGAACTAATTTTAAAAAGTATTGTGATATAGAATTTGGTTTATTTTCATCAACTAGTTTGTTGCATCTTTCCTTTGGGATATGTTTGATAAAATTATGTATTTCCTGTAATTAACTAATACCAGCACTCTGAAATACAGAAACACAATGGATTTGAGATGCACTTGAATATAAAACAGTTTATATGTTCTGTTTTGTGGGACTGTGTTTCATTTTGAAAATTCATACACTGCTGAATGTACAAATTAAAAACCCACCACAATCTTCCGTATGAACTTGACATGTCGTAATGACTTGATAAAATCTTTCTAAATCTGAAAAAAAAATTTTCCATGAATGTACTGGTATGTGTCAGAAAAGATTACAGGAATCCAGTGTTTAAAATTCTTCAAAATATTGATGTATTTCAGAGTTACTCCATAATTTTACAATGCTCTAAGTCTATTGATTATTAACAGTAATTTCTGCTTGCAAAAGTACATAGTGAGCTTTGAGTTTCGAAATGTAGTCACTTGAAACAAGAGGAATATAGCAAATTTTAGTGAAAATCTGACTTTTTGAGAATGATGTGATTACAAAAAAATGTAAAACAGAAAATTTACACTACACTGACATGCTGTTTGTGTTGGTTGTACAGCATGCAGTATTTGTCTTTATTGCTGGTTTCTTTAACCAGTACCAACTCCTAAAAATCCCAAGTGATTTCTAAGATTGTATTTGGATAAACTTTCTGAATAGGTATAAATGGAACTTTCTTTGAGTTCTGTGTGCTTTTAAATTCAGTAATGCTAAAAAAAAATATAAGTGCCCAAGGCAGGAGGTAAACAATTTTTCTTCTCATCTACCTAGTAGCCGAAAAGCATTTAAATACCATGTGAAGTCCTGACAACCCTTCAGTCTAATTGTGCTGTCAGAGAACTCTCTTAAAAGTAAATTAATTTGGGAGTTCAACTTGATTCTAAAAAAGTACCACCTGTAAGTCTGTTAAAGTCTGTCATGAAAATAATTTTTTTTCTCAGAGGATAAAAATGTTTTATTTATTGATTTCTTTCTAGTTTTACTAGACCAGTGTTTGATCATTAAGCCACTTAATTGTAATTTGGAGTTTTCTATGTTTTATTTCAGACAGCAGTCCTGAAACTCTTGAAGCGCATAAGATAAAGACAGCTTTTTTCACATACCCGACACTAATGGAAATATGTAGGAGATTAGTCACTCACTATTTCTTGCTGACACAGGAAGAATTGACTATGTGGGAAGAGGATCCAGAAAGCTTCAGTAAGAAACATGGTGTATTGTTGGTTGCAGTTTTATTAGATATTGGTATAAATGTTTCATATCAGCATTGTCTCTACAAATTGCCTACTGCAAATATTGAACATTGTATTCCTGCAGTCTTCTTATATGGGCAAACATTCCCTCCAGAGATTCCTTTCATAACAACAGATTTCAGTACTCTGTGATACCCTCATATACAAACACCAAACTTTATTTGAACCATAGTTGAAATAATACTTTTTTCTTTCTTTGTGAAATAATAGCTGTAGAAGAGACAGGAGGAGATTCTTGGAAGTACAGTCTCAGAGTAAGTGTTTCAATTTGAAAACCATTAAACATTCCTGAATGCATTTCTTGATAGTCTTGTAACCAAGAGAGGTGATACCTGCTCGAAAGATGGTGCTTTTAAAAAAAAATCCTTATGGAGATTTCTTTAGAATTAGTAACTTTGCTCCTTTATCACTGTTCAAACATGCTGAAACACACTGGAAACTATGCACTTGATATTTTAGGAGGGAGAGAAAAGGAGTTGGCTTCAGCATTTGTATTATGTAGTATCTGATGGTGGTTAAAGCCAGTAGATGTTGTCTCTTCTTTGAACTGATGTTATCACTTATGACTTTATTAATAGACATGATGTATGAAGATGGTTTCAGATGATATATATTTAAATATATTTAAGTATATTTAATTGTATTAGTTAATTAGTTATTAGTTAATTTAGTTTGGATCAAAAGTATGTTGTTATGATGAATCTCCCAGTTATCACTGCTGTGATTTGCTTTGCAGAGTGATCTCAAAGTTTATTTGCTGGATTACTTTAATTTTAAAACTGAAACCCCCAACCTTGTGCATCTAGTGTGTTCCAGCTGTAAATGGGTATTTAGTCCAAATCACTCAGCGTGAGTGACTTACCGACAGTATGATCACTGGCTACTCAACACCAGCTGTTTCACTCCACAGATTCATTGTTCTTCTGCTACAGAATTGACTGATACAGATGCAGCCATCAAACTCTTCATAGTTAAACATAATGTATAGTAGGAAGAATGGTGTTTTATAGAGTGCTAATTTTGCTGCAGTATATTGTGTTTTAAATTATGACCTTTAGTGCAAGATATTCAGCACTTGAAATTTTAGCATAAAATGTATTTGAGTTGCCTTTAATAGATTCTAAACCACGTTTTAATTTTTCAGCCATGCACAGAAGTTCTTTTTATTGATATTTTCCATGAATATAATCAGATCCTTACCCCAGTTCTTTTAGAAATGGTTCACAGTCTACAAGGTAAGTTCTTTAAAAAATAAAGGAAGTGTAAAATGTAGAATTCTTTACCTTTACTTTTGTGAACAGTTAAACAATTTTACCTTGTAATATTTAATTTTATATAGTGCGTTCACTCTGTATTTTTGAAAGGACATGTTAGTATTTTAAAATTATTTCTAAACCTACAATAAGGAAAATGCAATGTGTGTCTAGGAGGAGGAAATCCTAAGGACTTTTTACTTTTCATCATAACTATTTTAGATGACTGACCAAGGTTGGGACGTTTCTGCTTTCATGAGGTTTCAGACTTTCATGAGAGTGGTCCATGAGCTTAATGAATTCTGTAGGTTGTTTTTTGTCAGGAACTTCCTGTTCAGGTATTGCAAGGCAGTTCATGCTGTGTCTCTGCCAAAATCCTGGGGGAAAAAGAAACTTTTAAAGAAAAAGTTCATTATACTGTTATTTTGGAGAGTCTAGAGGACTTTCCAAATCTGAAGAATCTGCTTTAGGTATTTGTTTTCTGTATGAAGACTGAAGTATTCATAGCTGAGGAATGTTTCACATTTTCTTGCTGTTTTACTGTATGATTCTTTGCCCCCAAATTAAGTTTTATAATGGCCAGGAAAGATAATAAGTGGGAATAGCTTTTTTTTTTCCCCCTGTAATTTCAGCTTAGGTTATTTCCCCAGGTTGTATCTTAGCTGACTTACAATATTTTGTATTTGATCTGACCAGGATGGATCATTACATTCTAATTAAATAAACAGTCATTTTCTGAGGATGGTTTCTGACTTCACAAAATGTCTTCATAATATACTTTGTATACATAGGTTTTGAGATGGCTTGCTGTGCTGTAATACTGGGAATAGTAAAACGTTCCTTACAACAGAGTCGACAGTTAATGTGTTTTCCAAAAATTACAGGCATATCAATAGTATTAATACTACCATGCTAAAAGGTACACCTCTAGTTTTTTCTCTTCTGAGGCCCCTATTAGCCACTTCTGCATGTTTTCAACTTGAGATTAGCTGTTGAAGTACTAGATGATGTTAAGTATTCATTAATTCTTAAAATTTTGGAAAATCTTCACTTACATGTTGTACATATACATGCACATACATATACATATATATATACACACACACACATATATATATGTGTACACAGATATGTATAAAGTACATGGAACTACATCTAGGACCCTGTTTGAAATATTACTATGTAATTGACAGTCATCTGCATTTTGCAGGTTTTGAGTCTGTTCGTTTTAAATACATGCTTCTGACTTAAATGTATGTTGCTACTAGAAAGGTTAATCTCCAAAGTAGTAAGTCAAAAATAGGGTGTGAAAGTATATTAACTAAAAAACTGAAATGACTGAAATTGTAAATGAAAGAAAAGCACCAAAACAGTCTTAATTCATGGCTTACTTACTTACTTATAGAGCATATAAGTGTGAAGTTGCCTGGCTTCCTTGTTTTAGTGACTTTTTTCTTTATTTTAACTTTGGCTTGTAGGATCTACCAACATAGAAGATACCAATGCTATACTGATCAAAGATGCTGGTAAATTTTTCTTTATCTTTGAAGTTACAGAGCCACTTTTGTGTATGTGTTTGAGTTCTTAAAAATTGCATGAAGAATTTGCAAGATTTTTTAAAAACATTTGGAAAGTGGGACATAAATCCTGATTCTCCTTTCAGTTGATATGAGTCTGCACTTTTCCAAATGCTTAAGCAAAAATATAGTCCTCTTTGGCTTTTTTGTGGAAAAAGCCCTTAGACAATCTCTTTACTGTCCTGTCCTTTCTCATCATCATGGCTAGGCTTCGCGAACGAAGATTTGAGAAGGGCTCTACCCACGTTTCTTGCAAGCGTGTTGGTGGCTAAAAAGGCCAATACGAGAAAGGCATGACCGGTTGCAAAAGGCACAACAGAAAGACTCCTTAGATGATATGTTCTGCAAGGCTCAATTCTTTCTGCATCGTCTTTTCTGCTCGAGAGTGATCCTGCGTGCTTTCTCAAAAGCATCAGCGGCGTTATAGATGGTGTGTCTCCAGGCCTCCCGATTGGAGGCCAGAGTAGACCAGTTATGGTGATCAATATGGCCGAGGCTGAGTTGTTGTTTCAGGGAGTCCTTGTATCTTTTCTTCGGGGCTCCTCTCTTGCGGCAGCCAGTGGCAAGTTCACCATAAAGCAGGATCTTAGGGAGGCGGTGGTCCTTCATCCTGGAGACGTGCCCTGCCCATCACAGCTGCGTTCTCAGTAGCATGGCCTCAATACTTGTGATTGCTGCCTGTTCTAGAACAGATGTATTGGTCACATAATCTGACCAGTGGAT